GCTCTGTCACAGTGTCTACCTCTCACATGGTTGTCTACCCATGTTTCTTTCTGGACAGATATTGATGAATGTCAAATCAGGGACACCTGTCAGCATGAGTGCAGAAATACCATCGGAAGCTATCAGTGCATCTGCCCCCCTGGTTATCAACTCATGCTCAATGGGAAGACATGCCAAGGTGAGGAAACGTTGAGGTGACTCTTGCTATAATTTAACATAAAGCCAACATAGGAGAATGAGAAGGTTGTGTCGGTAATTATTCTAATCATGTCCCCTTTTTTCCCATTCACACTCATCAGGACTGTGTTTAAGCATTGCTTTTATAGGTGAGAAAAACCAATAAGAAAGCAAGTCAGTAAAGGGAAAGAGTTGAGAAACATTTTGATATGGGCTTACTTGAGACAGTAATTGAACAACAGGAATGGAATTCTTTAAACTTTTTCATTACTTACTAAGGTGGAAAGGAAAATCAAAATGGGATGGAGTAAATTTACAGCAGTGTAGAACACTATCTTATATCTTCTCTCTCATTAGACTTATTTTTAGTAATTAGTAGGTAATAAAGTAGATATTCTATTCATTTTTCTAATCCACAAATGATGTGGAACATTCATGCTAAGTGTGCAGGAAGCAAAAGGCTTCAATTTTAGGTGAACAAGTTGGAGTCCTCTTTAAGAGCTTACAGTCTAATGGAGATGTAAAGAAATCCAAATACAAGCTTATAAACGCTATATTAGTTGGGGACAAGACATAGTGATAATGGAAAAAACATCAATCTTACTTAGTACATCCCATTTTACACAAAATTCTGAGTGGATAATTATGCTTTGGTGAGAGGTTGTTTTATATTACAATATATACTCATTAAAATGAAGTAAGAACTTGTATAACTTTTTAAAGTCTTCTAAAAATTCTTTATAACTTCATGAACAAAATTTACAAGTGTTAAATAGAATATAAGTTTCTGAATTTTTTTAATTTATGTTATGTAAAAACTACATCCTTTTATACATTATGGCAGTAAAATCTTCCAAAGAATGCCCTATCAGTAGAAGTCTAGTTAAGATTAAAATTTCCTTCTCGTAGGCTCACAGAAGACTTGCTAAGAATGCAGTTGATGGAAATGTGTTCTGGAAAATATGCCAACACCAGGATGGGCACTGGCTTTACCTTAGTAACCAAGAGTCACCCGTATCCCTCTCCTACCTGTTCACATACCCTGAGAATCACCACAGGATTGTGGGGGCTATAGTGAGAGCCTGAACTCAGTGATAATCTCTTCTCTTGCTCATTGAGGATCAAATAGCAAATCTATTCATACCAAATATTTTACTGAGATTCAAAGTACTAGAATAGGAAGTTCTATATTACAGTGTTACGTTTTTTTAAAGCAATTATTACTTCATTTAATCAACAGTGTAGAAACACCAATGGCAATTATCTGGACCCATTGTACTGATTCTCACAGTGATTATATGAGCCTCAGTCTCCTAAAGCAAATCAAGTGTTCCACAGTAATGCTACTCCACTTCGAGCTCTTCCTACAATGAGTACCTGTTCTTTTGTTGTTTGTTTGGTTGGTGGTTGTTGTTGTTGTCGTTTAGGTGTTTTTGGTACCAGGGATGGAACTCAGGACCTTACTTTTTCCAGGGAGGTGCTTATGCCACTGAGCTATGTTCCCAGCCCCAAATAAAGTATAGGAGTAGGCACTTTATTTCAGATCTCATATGTCCAGAGTAGTCTTTTCTTTCCCATGATACAGTGAATGCCAAGGGCATTGTTTTGTAGAAAGTAGGAACATTGGCTGTCCATGTTTTAGATCCTGTCATAGTTCTTCAACCCAAGAGCCTTTTAGGAGTGCCAATACCCACTGCTACAAGTGTATACTGCATAGTTGTACCAGGCACCCTGGACAGAAACAGGCAGACAGTATGGGATATTTGGAATAGCCAACTGAACCACAAACTTCCTTGCCAGATTTTAAAGAATTATATCATGGGCTGGTGAGATGGCTCAGTGGTCTAAAGCACCTACTTAGAACAAGCTTAGCAAAGCACAGGGACCACGGTTCAATCCCCCAGCACCACATGCCAGCCAGCCCCGCCCCCTGGTGGGCTGAGCTGGCCACACACACACAATAAATAAATAAATAAATATTTTTAAAAAAAGAATTATATCATATATTCATCAGAGATATTTTTCTTCTTTTCCAAACTTTATCAGTTTATTTTTAATTTCCCTTGTCACTCCTTAAACTCAAAGCATTTTCAGCTTTAATTTGTGCTACACAATAGAAAATATTATGAATGAATCAGAAAAAAGTGTCATTTGATATGTTTGCAATTTAAATGGACTACATGTTCTTGTGACTTCAAAAAATTATAACCAAAAAAAGTTATCTTTTATGTTTCCACTCTAAGAGTAACTTGGAATTGTAGTGTAGATTTCGAAAGTGCTTCTCATCTTGGAGTCATTTATAGGGAAAAGGGTGCTTTTCACTTACTGTATTTTCTAAAGCTTTATTAATGTCAGTAAGAAAAGGAAAATTAATGAGAACTTAATGTGGCAACAAGGACAGAGATTATTAAAAATGGAAGTCACCATACTGTAAAATGCAAAGCAGAGATGAGAAACTAAACGGTCTTTGTGCAAATTTTACGCACCACTAACCTAATTCTAAAACCTTCGAAGCATTAAATTGGCAGTTCATTTAGTGTTCTCATCCACCTCTATTCTAACAGAAGGAGTCTGTGTTATGAATTACTTACATTTTCTGTGACACAGATGTTTTATTTATCCTATGTGATTTTTTTCAATGTATCCAGAAGCACTTGGTTAAATACATTGATATGATTTAAAGCTATAACACAAAAGTGTTTTAAAACTCATTTAAGGACACTTTAGTTATAGCAACAATAACTGTATGATGTCTAAACTTTAAGTTGTCATAATGTTCTTGTGATAGTTAACAAAAACTAAATTGCACCTCATTGTTAACAGAAGACAAACGTGTGGTTTTTCTGTTTTGCCTTTTATCTTCTTTTCTATTTTGTTTTTGTATTTGGTTTTGTCTTCTATTTTAAGAACAGTGAGCAGGGGGTTTGATCCTCAGCCTACTGTGCTGGCCGTTCCCCCAGGCACACTGAGACCCATTGAGACTGGGCATGGTGGCACTCGCCTGTAATCCCAGCACTTGGGAGGCTGAAAACAGGAGAATCACTACGAGTCCAATCTGTGTAGTTAGACCCTGTAAGCTCTGTACTAAATATATTTTAAAAAGTTAAAAAAAAAGCACAGTGAGCAGAACTGAGTATAATATTAAGAGCAAAAGCCTACAATACATTTTATCGTCGAGGTATTTCTAGACCAAAGACAAAGGGGTCCACTTGCATACAGCTCAGTACTTATGAAAGCTTTTCATGGAAAGCAAACATTGTCACAGACTAAGGGGCTGGGGATGTAGCTCAGCACATGGCACCTGCCTGGTAAGTGTGAGGCCCGGAGTTTGATTCCCAGTTACCAAAAGAGAAAATAATTTTTTATTTTAAAAAAAGAAGACAAATAAAAAATCCCCGATCATGAACTTAAGGACACTTAGTGAAGATAATTTTCTTTATTTTAAAGAGACTAAAAAACAATTAAAAAAATGATACTAACTTTCAAAACAAGATGATGGGAAATTAACAATGGTTATTATAGTGCATATTGTTATCTTTGAAGTAGTTGCTCACATTACCAGGTGTAGGCATCCAAAAAAATTGAGCGAACAATATAAGCACTATTCCTTTCCATAATAAAAAGTAGTAGTGCAATTATCTTAGCTAGGCTTTGTGTGTGTGTGTGTGTGTGTGTGTGTGTGTGTGCTCCCTTCTTTTTCCTTACCCCATTGATAAGGACCAACACTTTGTATATGAGATTCTGGTATTTACAGAGTGATACTTGCCCCCTGGAGTCTCCGGTGTCCAGTACTCGTAGGATGCACACACACACGTGTCTCTGCGCTGCCCTGTCATCATCCCACAGTGCACTGGCCTCTGCTCCTGCATGAATTCAGTGTAAACACTGGAGATAAAATAAAGTGTGGAAAATAGGGTGAAGGGGAAATATTTTTATAAGACAAAGGAGGATCTGGCTAAACTGAACTTCTTTCACACTTGCCTGGAGGCTTTTCACTTTCTTCTGAGACAATCTCAGTTTATCAAGAAGAGGAAGCCCTTCTGATAGATAAAATCACAATTAGGAATTGTTTTGCAGAGACAATAGGCAAGACCTAACAAGTAAAAACTTAGTTCACACTGCCGATTCCAGTAGGGAAAGTAGCACTACAACTAGTAACAGAAAGCACATTATATTGTCATTATCAGCAAATACAAGCAATTAAAAACCTAAGCAAGTGAGTTTCTGCCTGTTAGTCTAGCGCACTCTTCTTCACTTTGTACAGACTGTAAATAAATTTATAATAAGTAATTACCGGTGAGCTCCTTACAAAACAAAATATATTTGGAATCATATGGGTTCTTTCCATTTTTGATACAAAAATGAAAATAGTAGCTACTTCAAAAGTAAAACTTGACATTTATTCTGCATGATTAAGACACCGCCTCTGGAAATTTCCCCTCTCCTTTCGCTTTGTCTTATAGCGCTGCTACAAGCTGTTTAATGGTATGTAAAAGCAATTCCCAGCTTCGGCACAAGGACACCCAGCCATTACGCAGCTGCCGCATTGGCTGCTGTGGGGACATGGGATAACAGCGTCACACTGGTCTGATCATTCTATGACGGAGGTGCACCTGTCTCTCAGGTCCCACTGCTTGGGAGCACTGATTTGGACTCGTGGGGTTGTGCCTCTCCACACATCAGAACCTATTTTTTGTTGTTGTCTTGCTTTCAGTTGCTTAAGAAGAGAAATGCTACAGGTACCCGTGTATAGCTGACTGATTTACTCTTGAAAGTCTTACACCTCCCCGCCACAATTTCTAAGTCTAAAACTTCTGGTGATAAACTTGAACAGCTGCAAAGAATTTGAATTATAGCATTACTATTTCATGTATACATGCTTCAAATATATTTTCATCAAAACTTTAGAGCTGAAGATCAATTATCTTAGTTAATGGAGGATAATCTTTATATAATTTAAAATTCTGTACGCCTTTTCAAAGAAATCATATTGAGTGTCAGAAAAGGTCTTAAGTCATTTTTTGGTTCAAGCAAGTGTTAATAAAAATTCCTCTGGAAACCAACTCACTTCCAAAATCTAATTTAAAATAGAAAGCCAAAACTAAGTTTGCCGCCATATTAAAATAAGGCCTACTATCATCAATATGTATTGTCAGTATTTTCATCCTTTCGTTTATACCCTGGGATTAGTGGCAACCTTTTTTTTTGAAGGCTGGAAAAGGGAAAAGAGAAAGGAGACTTCTGGACCACCAGCAGTTCTCGGATTGGTTTTAGTAAGAACTTGAGGTTCATGAGAATATGGAAGTTAATTCCCTGGAATCTTTGCCTGCCCTCATACTGCTAAGGGAATCCTTCATGTGGCACCTGGGAGAGGCAGATAGTCAGGTTTAAAAAAAAAAAATTGCTGTATACCATAGCTTTCAACTTTGAGGTTTCAAAATTCCTCTAAAATTCTGAGCCCCATGACCTCTGTTTCCAGCAAATCTCTCTCCTCCCTTCTCCTCCCTTCTCTTGTCCTCCCCTCCCCTCCTTTCTCCTCCCTTCCTTCCTTCTCTCTCTGTCTTCCTGTCTCGTACTGTCTCCTCCTATTACTCTTTCTCTCCCTGTCAGTATCAGTGTCTCTCTCTCTCTCTCTCTCTCTCTCTCTCTCTCTCTCTCTCTCTC